TTATCAAAGTCAATTAAATAATTTGTAATTCGTTTCTTTTCTTCTTTAAACAATTTATTTCATTAAAATAATGAAAGAAAAAAAGTTATTTTCATTTAATAAACTGGAACGATCAAATCAATTTGAGGATCAAGGAAATTTGATTTTTTAGCGATTTTTTTTCTAACTTGATCCACAACATTTAATTTTCTCTTTAATGAAGGTAAATCTTGTTTCCAAATTGGTAAACATCTCTTCATTTTTCCCATTAATTCAATATTACTTTTTGGAACACAAACGTGGACATACTTCTTTGGTCTTTTATTATAAGCACGAGTCAAACTAGCACATCTTCTAGCGAATAATTCTCTTCTAAATTTTTCAATACGTTCTTTTTCCATTTTTTTACGAATAAGTGCTTTTTGTTTTTCAGTTCTTTCAAATCTTTCTTTTTGAGCTTTAGTTCTTAATTGAATATCTTTTACCCTTTGTTCCATTCCTCTTCTTCTTTTAATTTCTTCAATTTCTTGTAATGTTTTCATATGACCTTTTTCAGTTCTTTCTAATTCTTTCATTTGTAATTTCCATTGAGCAATAAGGTTTTTTCTTTCTTTAATTTCTTCTTCAGTTCTTTTTTTTTCTTCTAATGCAGCTTTTCTTAATAATTCATGACGATGTTCTTCAGCCAAAGCTTTTTCTTTTAAACCATTTAAACGAGCAACACGAACAGCTCTAAGAGCTTTTTGTAATTCTTTTTTTTCTTTTTCTCTATTTTTTTTTAAGAGAATTCTTTTTTTTTCAAGAGAAAGAGTTGCTTTTTTAACTTCATTTTTTAAAAATTTTAATAATTTTTTTTGAGCCATCCATTCTTTTTCATTTCTTTTATAAATATTTGTATTACTTTTAATAGTAGCATTAAAATTTATTTCATATTGATTATAATGATGATTTATTTTTTTAATTTCTTCATTTGTATAATTGTTTAACATTTTATCAGCTTCTACCATCGTATTTTTTATATTCGTTGTTGTTCTTTCTACTTTTATCTGTTCAGCATCTTTTAATAATTTATCCATTTTACTTTCTATTTCTTTAGCTCTTTTATCAAGTTGTTGAACTTCTTGAATTCGTTGTTCTTTTATTTTATGAATTTTGTCAATTAAATCTGCAGGAACTTGTGCATTACATATATAAATTATCACAAATAAAATGGTTACAAGTTTCATTTTTGTTAATATTACATTTTTAAGTTCTTCTTTTTTGTTGATTTTTATATTTTTTTTTTATTATTTTTATTTTATTTTTATTTTTTGTGTTATTTAAATCCTTCAAAACATTTTCATTTCTCTTGTTGTTATTTATTACTTTAATACCTCCTTTTTTTATTATAATAAATATTTTCTTTATGAAATTGATTTTATTAATCAATACAATACATTTCTCATTATTTAATTATTTTCCTTAAATTCAAAATATTCACTTATATAATGAATCACAATTATTTTATTATTTTCATTAATGTAATGAATTGTTAATTAATAACATAATATTTAATTGAAAATAAATAAATTTAAAAAAAAATTGTAACAACCAAATAGAATCAATTAAAGGAGCATTTGAGAAACCTTAGTGGTTTTCTTATGTCTAAGGGCTTCAGTTGGTTTAGCAACTTTCTTTTCTTTTTCAGTTAAAATAAGTTCAATATGGCATGGGCTGCTTGAGAAGGAGTTAATGCTTCCATGTGCTCTGTAAAGTCTTCTTCTTGATGAACGAGCTTCTTGAACAGCAATATGACTAACAGTCAAGAGTGCAGTATTAAGTCCTTTAGCCTTAGCATTATCAACAGCATTCTTAAGAAGTTTAAGAATGAATTGTGCTGATTTGACTGGCCATCTTCCAAATGCACAATTTAATCCTTTGCATTGAGCTTTACGTCCAACTCCTCCATTGTGTTTTCTGAATGGAACAATTTCTTTCTTAATGATAACGTTTTTAAGGAATTCTTGAGCACGAGCAACTTTCATTCCTCTAATCGCATCAGCAGTTTCGTAAGTATTTTTGAAGTGAACTTTAAGATTATCACCACGGGCTTGAGCAGCTTTTGCGACGTTTTCTGGCTTAGTGCAATACTTGACCATTTTGTCTTTGGTTGTTCTGAAAGAAACTACAGTTCCTTCATACTGTCCTAGGGTTTTTTCTATTCTTTTTAGTTTTTTTATCTATAAAATATAGTTTTTTCTTTTTATTCAGATTTTTTATTTTGTTTTTTTGTTTATTATAAAATTTATAAATATATATAACAAAATTTTTTTGAATATAAAATTTTGTGATATATTACTTTGATATTCTTTTCTCCTTGAAGCTTTTAATTACTTAACTCTTCTTTGTTCAATAAATATTTCATCTCACTACAAGACTTTTTTGTTATGAAAAGTATTCTTATGGTATGTGTTTAAAAGTTATTTTTGTTTAACTTCTTTTGTTACAAAATTTAAAATTTTAAACTGAAAATACATGAAAGAATACGTATTTTATTGTAGTTCTTATAGTTCTATTAAAATAATCAAAAGTTAAATACCAACACAATTCACTCATAAGTAGCTATTCAAATCATTGGATAATTTAAATATTTTATTTTTATAAAAAGTATCATTTATCATATAATGAATAATAAAATTATAAAAGAAAAGTAGTTTCTCTATCCAATAAATATTCTTAAATAATAATAAATAAGAGTATATAAATATTGAATATAAACATTTTATATTAGAAAAAAATCTCCATGAAAGATAAGAGTTATGTTACATTTTCTAAAAATTTTATTCTTTACATTAAAGAATTATCTGAAAGTATAAAATAAAAAAGTTAGTATTAAATAGTATTAACAAAATTAAAATTTAATAAAAATTAATCAACAAATAAAAAGAACTTTATTAAATATTAAGTCTGATAATTTTAATTTTCAGTAAATGATTTTTTTAGTGAAATGAAAGATATATTTATTGTTATAGTAATTTTTATT